AAGGATATTAATGACGTAAGTGGTTACAGACCAATAGCACTTCTGCCTGTACTTTCAAAAATATTTGAAAAAGTCTTACTGAAAAGAATCCTTCCTCTGATCGAAAGTCAAAACATAATACCTTTACATCAGTTTGGTTTTAGGTGCAATCACTCCACCATAGATCAAGTCCATAGGATTACCAATGTAATAGAAAAAGCTCTTGAGGAAAAAAAAATCTGCTCAGCTGTGTTTTTAGATGTGTCGCAGGCTTTCGATAAAGTCTGGCACTCCGGATTGCTTACCAAAGTAAAAAATATTCTCCCAACGGAGTATTATGACATAATCTCCTCTTACTTATCTGATCGTTACTTTCGAGTAAAGCACGGTGATACCTATAGTAAACTGCATAAAATTAACGCTGGAGTTCCGCAAGGTAGTGTCTTGGGTCCTCTCTTATATCTGATTTATACACACGACTTGCCAACGAGTGCAACAACGTTCACAGCAACTTTTGCTGATGATACTGCAGTCCTTGCAGTTGGAGAAAGCGCAGTAATAGCAGCTAATAATTTGCAAAATAGTATGGACAGTATAATTGCTTGGACAAAAAAATGGAAAATTAATCTGAATAAAGAAAAATCAGTGCATGTAAATTTCACAAATCGAAACATCAGTTATACGCGAATACTGCCTCACGCGAATACTGCGAAATACTTGGGTATGACTTTGGACGCTAAACTAAGATGGAGCGAGCACATAAAAAAGAAAAGAAGTGAATTAGATCTTAAATTCAAATCGTTGAAATGGTTAATCGGCAAAAAATCACAACTATCGCTTTTCAATAAACTTGTATTATAGAAACAAATGCTCCAGCCAATCTGGGCATATGGAATACAGCTATGGAAGCAAGCAGAACACAAATTTCCATCATTCAAAGATTCCAAAATTTTATGCTACGGCGTGTAACAAACGCGTCATGGTACGTGAGAAATTCTGACTTACATCGTGACCTCGGAGTGTCAACAGTGCAGGAAGAAATTCATACCAAAGCCACATCACACCAAGATAGACTCAGTTGTCACATAAATGCTGAGGCGCATTTACTAGCGACAACCGAGCCAACCGAGTACTATAGTTGATTATTATTGCGTGAAATCGCCTAAATCTGTTTAAATTTAAATTGTTTGTTAGTTATCTAATAACTAGTTGCTTTATGTCTTGTTTTGTTTTTTTTATTGTTCTTTAATATCTTAAATAATAAAACAATTTATAATAAAAAAAAAAAACTCTCAAATAAGTATCAAACTTTTTTAATTAAGTTAAACTTGTGTTTTTTACTATACATAATAGTAATAAGTCTATTTTGATATTTGATTGCTGGTTGACTTTGTCTGAATTTGATTTGATTGATTTGATTGTTATATAGGGTTACATTTATTCATTCTAAAAGTTCTGTCGTCAATTTTTAACTGTAAATAAAATTATAATGTAGTGCCTAAGATACCTCAGAAATTAGGAACTATTGCATATCATTGACAATTGGAACGAAGATGACACATTAGTGCCAAGTGACACTCCGTTACCTATTGAATAATAATGTTTGCCACCTGATAATGTTGCCGGTGAATCGGACAATGAAATGATTGACGATGCTGAAATATCAACAAACATTGCATGCGACTTTAACACTTTGTTCTCCTTCTTTGAGTTCCATTTGTCTAATTGTGAGAGAGTATTTAGGTACTATTGAAATCGTATACGAATCAAATGCACAAGATTATGGTGGTCTTGTGGAAATGCCTAAGTAGCAACTATTCACCTTGGAACTTGCTATACCAAAACGTTTCAGTTATAAGCTATGAACCCTTTCTTCGGAAAGTAGGTATATCTTCCAGTTTCTACCATACTCCAGTTCAACCGAAAAATAAGATAAACAATTTTGAATCGGTGCATATGTTGTAATAGAATTATTGAGTTATTGTGAGCATCCATTGCAACATACAGTATGATTCCGTTGAGCCCGTAGTAAATATGCCACACTATAGCAGAGAAAAGAAAAGGTTAGACTCTCACAGCCACAAGTTATCAACAGCTACTACCGACACATGGGGGGCGTTGATTTACATGACAATGGAGTTGCTAACTATCGTATCGGGAATAGAAGCAAAAAGGGGTGGTGGCCATTGTGGGTACAGTGATAGCACTGTAGTAAACGCTTGGAAATTACACTGCTTTGTCGCTGCTTCTACCAACACAAAACCGATGCCTCAATTTGACTTGAAGAATTTCATTGCCAGAAAACTTCTTCTTGCATCAGAGAACTCAATGTGCATTACAGAAGCTACCGCTTACGATGATTTGAAAAGCATAAAACATTGAATTTCATACTTACGATGAATTTTTATACTTACTTTATACACTTTACAATGATAATTACTTCACCATAAAAGTAACTAAATACTGTATTTGCGAACAAAACACATATAAAAATGTTTGAACTATGGAAGAGAGAATAATGAACTATTGAAAAGTGCCGATAAAAAAGTGGTTGACCCCACGGCAATTTTCCGGAAAACTACTTTTCCAAAAAAATTTTCGCAGGGAGTATTTTTATTTTAATTTTAAAATAAGTCCTTTCTGAACATTTCACCATAAAATTCCAAGTTTGAACTTGGCGGGTACTTAATGGGTTAAATAAGTTTTATTTATTTTGAGATTATTCAAAAGTCCTATTACAAAATTTATTTGCTTTGCTGTAAAACTGCGTGTACAA